TTTGTGTTAAGGATTTGTTGGTTTTGAGATTTTCTTTGGTTGATGACTCTATATCCTCTAATGAGTCTTCAACACCTGAGATTCTCTCTTCTATCTCTTGTATTCTATTGGTGATACTTGCATCTGTAGTTCCTGATCGTTTACCCAGCTTTTCTATTTCCAGCATCCCTTCATTCTGTGTTTTCTTTATTGTTTCTATTTCAGCTTTCAATCCTTCAACTGTTTGAGTTGTTTCCTTCATTTTTTTGGTTGTTTTTTCTTGGTGCTCTTTAGATTCTTTGAGAGATTTGTTTATTTCTTGAATTTTTCCCCCATTTCATGGATTTTTTGTTTGTTTTTTCTTCAATTTCTTTAAGGGATTTCCTCGTTTCTTCTTTGAGGGTCTCCATCATCTTCATGAAATAAATTTTAAGGTCTGTCTCCTCTCCTTCATCTATGTAGTCCTTTTCGGGTCTTGCTGGTGTTGGATCCCTAGATTCTGGTGGGTCATGTTGGTATTTCTCTTGCTGAGTGAGCTCTTATTCTGTCTTCTTCCCATCTCTTCTTCCAGTGGATGCTGGTGTGGTCTCCTTCCTTCCTGAAGCAGAAGCTGGACTAGCTGGGGTTTGGGGCTTGGAAGAGCTGATGTCTTTCCTGTGTGGGCAGGTCTTCTGAAGCTGGACTTCCTGGGGTTTAGGGCTTGGAAGAGCTGATGTCTTTCCTGAAGCTGGACTAGCTGGGGTTTGGGGCTTGGAAGAGCTGATGTCTTTCCTGAAGCTGGACTTGCTGGGGTTTGGGACTTGGAAGAGCTGATGTCTTTCCTATGTGGGCGGGTCTTCTGCATGCCAGGAGCGGCCCCAAAGATCAAGGGGATGTGTGTCGGGCAGGGGATCCCAGAAGCTGGACTCGCTGGGGTTTGGGGCTGGGAAGAGCTGATGTCTTTCCTGTGTGGTCGGGTCTTCTGGATGCCAGGAGCTGCCCCCGAAGATCAAGGGGATGAGAATGGGAGTTGGGTGGGGAATCCCAGCCGGAGACCCAATCTCACCTGAAGCTGGACTCGCTGGGGTTTGGCAAACCCAGACATTTTTAACCACTGAGCCACTTCTGTAGTCCCACAAAATGGAAATCTTTACAGTAAGAAGCATACAGTAGGATACACACAAACTGATAATCAATCAAGAGAGGAAGGCAAATGGCAAAGAAGGCTAGATTGTGCTTGATAACATGTCTCATGACATGAACAAAGACTAAGGTGACTGTGTTTGTCCCATATCATCCATGTACAAGCCCTTCTGGTATTCATTGTGCATCTAAGCACTTTTTGGATTTAAAGAGCATCATAACCTTTTGATTCATAATTCAGTTCTTGACACTGGAAATAACGCTACCATATAGAACACCTAGTTTTAAACATCACAGAAGTCTTCAAACTGAGAATAATTTAGTAGGTCATGAATTGTTATCACTATTATCCCCATGTAAAATTATATTTAACTGAGCAGCACAGCTACCCTCCAGGCCCAATGTCAAGACTTGCATTGGCCTACCCCAACATGTTCAAATCTGGGACCTTCTGGAGCTTGTGAAGGAATGAGGCGTATGACACTATACCCACTGGCTCACCAAGACATGGAGCAGCTACAGGATAACCTACATGAGCTCCATGAAGATCCTGTGATGATGATGCATCAAAACCAGAGGCCTTGAACTAGAGAAATGACTAATTGCAATGATCATTTGCTGGTAAATTGATAGGCCAATGACATCAGGACAAATAAAGTGTGGTTGGAGAGGCAGGAAAGGATATTTTGTTATTGTATTGCTCTTCTAATTGTTTGCTTACTTGCTCTCATTGTTTTTTTTCTTTGTGGGGGTACTGCAGGGGTGAGGGTGCATATGGAGAGACTTGCAGTTAAGTGGACTTGGGGTACATTATGTGAAACTCCCAAAGAATAACTAAATAAATGATTAATAAGAAGAAAAACAAGATAATGTCATGTCACAGTTTTATGTGTATGATCATCAAAAGAAGCAGCAAAATCATCAGTAAAGAATATATTTCTGATACTGTTCTGATGAACTCTTCTGTGATCTTCCAGCTTAATTACCAACAGTTTTACAAATACTGAAGAATGTTAGTTTGGATATTAGTCTTTAACTGTGATTCCATGAGTTTCACTGTAGATTCTAGCAGCCATTCCTCAAACTACCTTAAACCAAACTCAATTTCTCCTTTTTTCTTACTTGTTAATTTTCAAATAAGGAATGAAAACTCATACCCATAAATATCATGGAAATTTTGCAAGGGACACCTCACTTGGAACCCAGTAGATGAGCATGAAATAATACAGTATATTTACAGGGCCTACTGTTATGCTGGCATACAGAATTCTATCTTGTGTCTCTATTAATTCATGGATCAAGAACTATTACTGGGAATGTGTGGTTGGTTTACAGCTTGAAGTTCTCAAGACTATTACTGAATTATAAACTCAACTTTTCTTTGGCGATTAAAGTAATTTTATTTGTTTTTTGATCATAAAATGTGAAATTATTGACATTTTTATTAGCTTCATGTGAACAGATGCAACCAGTTTTCTAGGTTGTAGTGACATTCAAGGACATTATCAGGCTATGAGGTTGTTGTTTTATGCATAGCTATGCCCAATTTGGCATTTTCAATTATTTTTCTTTACTTTTTGTCATTTCATTTATCTTTTGTGTTTTGATTACTAATTTTTAATAAGCTTAAATATTGCATATTTCTTTTATGCTTTTTCCAATTTATTATTTTGATAGGATCATTCTCAACTTTTCATGTCTGTCTACATACACTTCATATTATAGGATATCTGCATATACCTTTTATGTTGTAAAAATGTATTTTGTCTTACCTTCACTAGACTCTTTCACAGAGTCTCTTTTTAATTCTTGTATGTGCCCCAGTTTAGATGTTTGTGCTTGACAAAGTCTAAATCCCAAACAATCACACAGTGTAAAAATTATAAGCTAAGAAACAACACTAAGACACAATGTACACTATTAATACTTTTGGCCAATATTACCTCACTTAATATAATACATTCTTTTTTCTGCACTGGCCATTCTCTTTGGTTTGATCTGATCCAGTGCCAGGACATGGAGAAAGAGAACCTGATAATATGGGGTAATTCCTATGTGTCAGCTCATCTACCCATTTAAGAAAAAACTTTTTTTTGGTTTTTTTTTTGTTTTGTTTTTTTGTTTTTTTATCATTTTTTATTTTAATTTTAAATAGCTTGTTTTACATGCCAATCCCAGTTCCCTCTCCCTCCCCTCTTCCCGCACTCCCCTTCCCCCTCCCTCCCACCCTATTGCCAAATCCTTCCACATAGGGGATATCTAGAGTCTGTCATTTTACTCTTGGTAGGGTCAAGGCACTCCCCTAAGAGTCCAGGCTGAGAGAGCATCTCTCTTTGTGCTATAGGCACATGAAGACAGTTTGTATACCAGGGATAGACACTGATCCACAGCTCAGGGCCCCATAGGTTGCCCAGACCTTCTCACTGACACTCACATTTGGGGGGTCCAGATCAGTCCCATGCTGGCCTCCCCACTGTCGGTCTGGGGTCCAAGAGCACTCCCCTGTTCAGATCAGCTGTCTCTGCTGGTTTTGCCAGCCCATTCTTTGCCAATTTGCTCATCACTCCTCTCTCTCTGTCACTGGGTTCCTTGGGTTCAGTTCAGTGATTAGTTGTGTGTTTGCCTCTGCTTCCATCAGTCACAGGATGAAGGCTCCCGGATGGTTATAGATATCAAGTTCATTATCAGGAATGGGCATTCGAGGTGGTCCCTCCACTATTGCTTAGCTTGCCAATTGATGTTATACCTTTAGATCACTCGAGGTCACTCTGGTGCCTGATCTGTCTTCGATCCTATGATTCCCTCTTCCCCCTATTCTACCCCCACCCCTCAACTTCCTGTTCCCCCAAAACTTTTGTAGATAAAGATACTCTAGTAATTCTTCCCTAGTTCATGATATTTCAATTGCTTTTCTCTGTGTGGATGATTAGTGGGAAGAGCAATGGTGGCTTTCCTGAGGCCTCTAGGTTCAGAGTGGTACTGATCAACAGCTGCTTCTGCTTACTTATTTAAGTGATCTTACACAATTTAATAAGGCTTTTGACATAGTCATCTGAAGGAGTAGAGTACTGTGTCATCAGAGCCTCCTCCCACTGCACTGATGGGCTGTCTAACCCAGTGCCTTCTTTCCTACTGTTTCCACTCTAGACTTCTGAGTGGCACCTGACTGTTCTAGACAGTTTCTATAGAAACTAGGAACATTTCCCTGTTAGATCACATTCTTCAGATAATGACTTTTCCTTGCCATTTCTGCTGATTCATTTTGCCTATCATTGTTCTGTTGTGGATATTGTAAGATTTCATTCCTTTGCATATCACCATTAGTCTAACAGTTCTAAAATGTGTTTGCACACACATCTGTGTGTGTGTGTTTGTCTATGTGGTATGACTTTTGCTAAGATCAAGCTCTTAAGTTGCTACGATAGAAGTTGTCACTCAAACCATCATTTTATATATTTTATGTCCTTAATAAAATTCTCTTATGGATAATTGTACACATATTCTGAATGCTATTATAATTTTTCATTACTCATCTTTGAATTTTAGATAAGCTATACATAAGAATTAATATCTCTTCAGTGTTTTACTAGTTATTCATACTGTCTTCTCTTATACCATATATAGAAAATATAAGTATATGTTCTGTATCTTACATCATGCTTGGTTGCTAGTGACTGTGGCCATTAGCCATCTTACAATCACATGCAATGTAAGTAATATTTTCTCTTCTCATTTACTTGGAAAAAGTTTTTGTTATGCTGTCTAGGCTAAGATGCCAATGCTGAGCTCCAAGAAACATTTTAAATTAGCATCGCAGTACCTCTTTGGATTGCTACATCCTTACATTCATTTTGACTAGAGAAATTGCTTTGGCCATTAACTACAGAGAAACCATCCCCAGTTGCAGAATGGACTTCTGGACTCTGACCATAAAAATCATTTTCTTGTCACAAACTACAATTGGAATTCTGGGAAATTTCTCTCTTCTTTGCTACTACATATTCCACTATGGAGAATGCACATTAAAACCCACAGAGTTGATTCTCATGAACCTAATGGTAGCCAATGCCTTGACCATTCTCTCTGCAGGAGTGCCAAACACAATTGCGGCTTTTGGTTTGAAGCAGTTTTTAAGTGATTTTGGATGCAGACTACTTTTGTACTTTCAACGAGTTGGCAGGAGTGTGTCCATTGGCACCACCTGCCTCTTGAGTGTCTTCCAGGCCATGACCATCAGTCACATGCAGTTCTTTTGTAAGGATCCAAAAGTCAAAGCTCCAAAGTACATTGGCTTCTCTATTGCCCTTCTCTGGGTCTTTTACATATGGATAAATTTCATTTACTTTGTGTACTTGTTTATCAAAAGGAATGTTAACAATGAGACCAGAAAACGAGATTTTGGATACTGCTCCACTGCAGGGAGGGATGAAATCACTGACTTATTCTATGCTGCATTGGGGGCATGCCCTGAAATCTTATTTTCTTTGCTTATGGCCTGGTCCTGTGGCTCCATGGTTGTCATTTTATACAGACACAAGCAGAGGGTCCAATATATCCATAGCACCCATGATTGCAGAAGAACCTCCCCTGAGTCCAGAGCCATCCGGAACATCCTGGTCCTGGTATTTACCTTTCTGGCTTTTTATACTCTGTCCTCTATCTTACAAGGTTGCATAGCTCTTTTGTATAATCATAGTTGGTGGCTGGTGAACATTTCCAGCCTCACTTCTCTGTGTTTTCCCTCTTTTGCACCATTGGTTCTTATGAATCATTACTGCAGATTACCTAGATTCAGTTTGGCCATGATAAGGAATACAAATCACTCATTCTTATTTTAAGTAGGAAAATGATATGTTTTGTGTGGTGTGTAGATGTTTACTCACCCATTACTGTCATAGTGTCATTACATGTACTTAAGGAGTTATTTTTTTAACCATTTAACTAGTAACCAAAATGATGTGTCTGGAAGTTTTGTCATGTGTTAAATTAAATGCCTACCTGAACTTATCTCATTTTATGAGGAATATATTTCTCTTCAAATTACAACTCCCAGGCTTGTCTTTGGCTGATATACAAAGAATAAGACAAAAAAGCTCTCAGTAAATATGCCCTTTTCCTGACTTTCTTTCTGCCAGGGCATTCTTAATGTTTGGTTATTTTACAGAGAGCTTGTGGAACTTAAAGTCTAATGGCCTATAGAAATGAAACCATGTCTGGCAATAATGTTTATATTTCAAGAGGCTCTGGCTCATTCACAGCTATTCACGCCTTCACCAGTATGAGAAGTTACTCAGTCATAATTTTCCAAATACCCTTCTTTTGCTGCCCTAGAGATAATGATGTTGGTTTACTCTGAAGATTTTAGCAACTATCCTCCACAAATTCTTAAAAAAGAATGTTTTCCTTACCACTTACTGAAAAAATATAATGAATATCTTCCAATTCATACAGAAACCAATAGAAATGAATCATGGTTTAAATGTTATCTGGACTTTTGTTTGACAAATTTTCCATCTATATTCATAGTGGAGATTGGTCTGAAAATTTCCTTTGTTGTTGATGTGATGTTAACTGGTTTGTCACTATTATAATTCTGTTTTCATCAAAAGAGATTATAAACCTGTTAATACAATCGTTGTGGAAATTAGCTTTTTGATACCTTAAAAATTAAAAATATAATTACAATATGGTTGCAACTCTTCTACTCCTGGTCATATATACCCAGAGAATTCCATATCCTACCATAGATATATACATATATCTGTGTTCAATCCTGCCATGTATAGTATAACATTGGAAATGGATCCATAAACAGATAAATTCATGATATAATTTGTGTTCATGTACAAATTGGATTATTATTCAAATATAGATAGAGATGAAATCATAAAATGTGTAGGAAATATGATAGATTTATACTGCATAAGGGAAAGTTGGTCACAGAATCTCATTTTGAAAAAAAATCTCACGTTCTCCTTCATATGTAAATCCCATCATATAATGTGCATATGTAAATCGGTGATTATTGCTTCAGTATAAGATTTAGACAGAAGAGCATGAAGCCAAGTGGTGGTGGGGCATGCCCTTAATCCCAGCACTTAGGAGTTAGTGCAGGTAGATCAATGTGAGTGTGAGGCTAGCCTGCTGAGCAGAGTGAATGCTAAGAGAAGCTCTAAACTACAAAAAAAGAAACTCTGACTCAAAAATCATAAAAGCATGAGAGGTAATGTTAGGCAATGGGCAGACACAGGAATCCACTGGTTACACAAGAGGCTATCAAGTTAACATTTTTTTTCAACTCTACCATTTCTCATTCTGTAATAGAAAGAGGCATAATATATATTTGATTGTGGCATTGTAAAACTCTAAACCAAGCTCCACGGCTGCAGCATAACTATTTTAACCACAGAGATGTATATTGAATTTGTGCCTGGACAAGTGTTCTTTTGAATGTGTCTATTTCATTGTAGCTCTTCAATGATTTTTGTGTGCTCATTAAAATAAACTGATTTTGGTTTAAAATGAAGTGGTATCACAATTTGTCCTAAGATATAAGATTGGCTAAACTATGTCCAGCCATCAATGTAGGACTTCACACAGATGGACTCAAAGATAAATTTCACTTGATTATCTTAATTGTTGCCACAAAATAATCTCTATTTATCCATTTTATTCAAAATATACTTTACTGTTACACATTATATCCTGATTATAATTTATCCTCACTCTCCTCCTTACAGTTTTCCTCTATCTCCCTTTCATTTCTGTGATTATGAAGGAATAGTCTTCTGAGACATAACAACAATGCATAGATAGAACATAATTCTATTAAAAATTCTCATTGAGACTGGACAAGTCAAACCAACAAAAGTAAAGGTGCAAAGAGAAGACACACTCATTTGCAAACTCAGCAGACTCAGTGACAGCAATAATACATACGCAGAGGACTAGATGAAAACCCGTTCAGTTCCTGTGCTTCTGGCTTCTGTCTCTATGAGATCACAGGAGGTTTGCTCAATTAAGAGGGCCTTGTTTTTTGGTGTCATTCATCCTCTCCCATGACTCTTACACATGCTTTCTTCATCCTCTCTCTTCGGCTTGTCTGAGCTCTGAGGGGGTGGATTTGATAGAAACATTCAATTTGCTATCCCTGATGTCATAAATACTTCTAACATATCTAGAATTCTTGCATGATGTAACAAGAGATACAGGGATAATCCCTCAGCATAATAATGGAAACTTACTACAAACCTTCAAAAAAGAGTTAGGACCCAAGAATATTATACACAGGACCCACAGGCTTGCTAACCATAACTATTTATGTTTAACCTTCAAAAGTGTCCACAATGTTTCTAAATAGTGTGATTGTTGAAGTATATCATGAAAAACCTAAGTCTTTGAAAGGATTTTCTATTTGATTCATCTCAGTACCAGAACAATTTGGGGAAAGGATCAGACATGATGGAATATAAATGAGTGCAAAAAATGAAGTTGACTAGGGAATATTGGACAGTTGCATATCTGAGTATGAAAAGTTGCTCCCCCAAATGACTAAGACCCTAGGTGTCAAAGACATGCATTGATGTCTTAGAGGAGTTGCAAATGCCTAAAACTTGAGAGGCAGAGCACTTGGAGGCACAGTGTTTAGTGTAACCTGTTTGGATTTGGAGGATACACAGAACAAGAGGATGGAAGACGCAGATAATTGACAATGGACTCAATACTAGGGAAGTCACTGCTAAGGAGCCTAACCTAATAAAAACATACAGTCACTCTGTCTGTTTGCTAGGTGGAAGAGGGACTAATTAGAAATTATTGAGGTATGATGAGGCATAGTGGATTTCTGAAACTCTCAGTGGTAGATAGTATACATAGGATATAGGCAATGTTTTCACAATGATCCTTATAAGAACTGTGCACCCATATCTGATCCTAGATATTATTCTATAACACAACCCACTCAACACACCTCAGTGAGCACAAGACACTAATAACATTTACTATGAAATCATATTCCACACATAGCGACATGTACACATATTAATATCAGTCAATCTAACTAGATGTCTTCTAGAAGTTGATTTAGAACTTTGTGACAAATTGTCAGAGCCTGTCCTAGTAAGTGATCATACATGATGAGAATAATTTTTTGTAATTAATATGCTATGGGAAAGAATATCTAACATCAAAAGTGTGCCCAGTTCTCCTCTTCTAGGTATTAGAGCTGACTCATCTTTAACCCCTAGCTGTCTTTCAAATTCATAGTCTGTTTTATTTTAATTACCTACATACTTATGTAAATATAATAATATATTTTAATTGTATAAATATACTAAATAGTATCAGACATTAAATATGTTATTTTTATAGTAATTATTACTATATACGTATTTATAATATGCTAAATTCATTGTACTGATGATATATATGTACTTTTAGGTCTGACCACAAGCTATAGGATGACAAATCCCTAGGGAAGACTGATGTTGCCTTTGTCTACAGTCATCCATTACAAGTAGCTTTCCATCCAGATGGGAAGCCTTGTCAGATTCTTCATCCACGTTGCCATGGCAAGTAGGTCTGTGACTCTTCAGGCCTTGTTTTCAAAATCATAACCTTGAAAATTCATGATTAGATTAAAGACTGTTTCAAGTGGAGAAAATCCATGCCTGGTACTAAACATTGCTTACTAGTTTAATGACTGATAAAGCTATTGATATAGAAGAGGTCCTATTACTTCTACCTTTCTAAACCACTATAACTTAAAACTGCATTCTATATTCTGAAACACACAGATAAGAATAGGTCTTAACCCTGATCAGCAAACAGCTTCAGTTTGTAACACAGAGAGAGTGTATGACAATAGTACACAGTGGTCAAAATTCACAGAACAAATGGTGCTAGTGTTCCCATCCCTGATTTGATGTATGAACAACACAAGTTCTGTGTCTAATATTCAAAGAATGTGGACAAAGGGTGAAAATGTTGTAAGAATCCGAGGATAGGACATCTCCTGAGCGATTACATCTTGTTTACACAACAAGGAACCAGAACATATGCTAACATTTTACCAGTCAGTGTATATCTTGTATTTACTCCCACATTTAAATACTTACCTAGCAATCATAGAGAAGGATATAAATATGTGAGAAAACATATGCTATTTTTCCAAGCAAAATGCACTTTACTGAAAATTTGTTATTTTTTCTCAACAACTAAATAAAATTCACATATAAGCACCCCCGCACAATGTATCATTGATTAAGATGCTCTCTCATGAAAGCCCTTAATTGCTATGATGCACACATCTCCAATGTTGATACTTCTTTATTGGTAATGATGTGATTGAAAAAAATTTAACAGTTTTAAAGCTTACATCCATCTTTAGGCATTTCTTGGATTAGAGATGAAATTTAAGTGTTGGCTTATAGTAATGATTAAAATGACAGAACACAATAGATCAAATAGAAGAGAAAAAGAGTAGACAGTAAATGTAAGAACTCTCTGAAACCTGATGTTTGTTGTCTGATATTAGAGAGTCTAGCAGAGCCTGGAAACTGAGGTGTGTTGTCTGATGAGGAGAAAGGGATACAATGCTCGAAAGCATGCAGCTGTTGCTACACTGGCATGGACCAGCCACCTAGTGTTTCCATTTACAAACGTTAAACACATGGTTAAGATGCCAGATGTTGTATAAAAGAAAACAAAACTGCTCACCCGGACAAGAATGGTTGGGATGGCTCTGGTCTCAGGAGATGATTTAGGACACAGAATTCTATGTATGTATTGGACCCTCTGCTTGTGCTTCAGCAGGAAAAGCAACATGGAACCACTGGCC